TTCCCTGGTGGGTCAGTGGTGAAGACTCCGCCTGTCAATGCAGGAAACACGGGTTCAATCCCTGATCCAGGAAGATCCCACATGCCTCAGAGCAACTGAGCCTGTGTGCCACAACTATTGAGCCTGTGCTCTTCAGCCCCGGGGGCTTCCCTAGTTGCTCAGACGGTCAAGCATCTGCCTGGAGTGCAGGGACCCAGGTTCAATCCCTGGGTCAGGAAGATCCCCTGGAGAAGGCAATGGCAACCCACTCCAGTATTCTTGCCTGGAGAATTTCATGGACAGAGGAGCCTGGCAGGCTACAGTTCATGGGGTTGCAAAGAGTTGGACACGACTGAGCAACTAACACACACACACACTTGAGCCCGGAAGCCACAACTACTGAAACCGAGTGCCCTAGAGCCCATGCTCCACAGCCAGAATGAGATGGCTGCAAGTGGGGGAGAGTAACCCCCACTTGCTGCAACTAGAGAAAAGCCCACACAGCAACAAAGACCCAGCATGGGCGAAAATTAAAAATAATATATAAATAAAATGCTTTAAAAAGTGAACATACAGAGCCCCTGTTTGAGTTTCCTGAGCCATACAGCAAATTCCTGTTGGGTATCTATTTTCCATATGGTAATGTAACTTTTCATGTTACTCTCTGCATACATCTCACCCTCTCCTCCCCTTTCCCTATGTCCCTAAGTCTATTCTCTATGTCTGTTTCTCCATTGCTGCCCTATGGCTGATTCATGTTGAGGTTTGACACAAAAGAGCAAAATTCTGTAAAGCAATTATCCGTCAATAAAAAATAAATTAATTTTTAAAAAAGTAAACATACAGATAATAGTCCTTGGACTATATAAGTATGGGGGGCAATTATGTCTGCCAGACTGTAAAGAAGCACGTCATTGTGGTATAGGGCTGAAAATTAAGGCCCAATCATATATACTGCCTTTACATCTGGGGAGACTCATAGGGCCTCCAATGGCCTAACTGCAAATTCCCCTTCCTGCTCTGCTCCCGCAGAAAAGGTCCCCTAGCCAAACAACCCTCTTTATCAAAGGGGCGAATACTGCTCCAGGTTATCCCTGCAGAGTGGATCTTATGTGTCCAATGTCAGGGGGCCTGTGTTCAGCAGTCCCCTAACCCTTGGGACGGATCCTCTCTCTCACCAACAGTGTGAAGAAGAGACCTGCTGCTACCTGGTTTCATCTGGACTCTTAAAATAAATGATCTTCTACATGCACAAATGTAAATTTCATCCAAGCTGTTTTACACCTTTTGGTTAAGGATTCTAAAATAAGTTTTTTGAGGACTTCTCTGGTGGCACAGTGGATAAGAATCCACCTGCCAACGCAGGGGACATGGGTTTGATCCCTGGTCCGGGAAGATTCCACATGCCTCGGAGCAACTAAGGCCCTGTGCCACAATTACTGAACCCAAGCTCTGAATCCTGAGAGCCACAACTACTGAAGTCTGAGTGCCTATAGCCAGTGCCCCACAGCAATAGAAGCTCACTCATCAAAACAAGGAGTAGCCCCGGCACACCGCATTTAGAGAAAGCCCACGCAAAGCAATGAAGATCCGGCACAGCCAAAAATAAATAACTGTAAAAATTAAACAAGCCGTTTGGTTTTGATTGACACAGATGGGGCAAGGGGGAACCTCTCTGAAACCTGTAACTTGGACAGGTAGGTCTCCAGTATAACTCAGGACTATTTTTATTGTTCCTGCTTCCAGGCACTAAAGCATTACAACCCTAAAAATGTCAGCACTATTTTTATCCCCCCCTTTTTTAAATAGGTGAAAAAATGTAGCTTAGAGAGGTTAATTTGCCCGATGTTTTGACTTTTTTCAGAGGATTTTTTATATATAACTTTATTTATGTATTTATTTTTGGCTGTGCTGGGTCTTTGTAGCTGTGTGGGCTTTCTCTAGTTGCAGGGAGCAGCAGCTGCTCTCTAGCTTCCAAGCACGGGCTGCTCAACACCATGGCCTCCTCTGTTTCAGAGGGCAGGGGCTTCAATAGCTGCAGCTCCCAGGCTCTAGAACACAGGCTCAATAGCTGCAGTGCACAGGCTCGGTTGCTCACCGGCACGTAGGATCAATCTTCCCAGATCAGGGATTGCACCTGTATCTCTCGCATTGACAGGCGAATTCTTCACCACTGAGATACCAGGGAAGCTCCTTGACTTTCTTAAATTAACATCTGTCAAGTGGAGCACAGGGTGCCCAATGCTGAGCCAAAATCCCATACCAGACCACAAGAGAAACTGAAATAGAGTAGTTTGTTACTCATAAGTCCTAGAGGAAGTGCCCAGCACACCTCCACGGGCCACATGGGGAGGTCAAGGTAGGGTACAGACACAGAGTGACAGGACCTGGGGCACATGCCCTTGTTATGGTCTGTGGATGGAGTCCTTTGGAGTTCCCAGGCTAGGGCCATTTTGGTCAATTTAAACCAAAAGAGCGTGGGTTCTGGTAAGCCCCACAGGGGTTTCTCTAAGGTGGCCACACAGCATAGAGGCCCTGGGAGGCAGGGGAAACTGTAGATCACGTGGGCTACTGAGAAGTCATGTCAGGAACTTACATTTGCTTGTAACTCTATGGGTTGCTATCAAGGGCATGTGCTTACAGGAGGGGGCTAGGGTCAGCTTAAGGTCTCTGCAAAGAAAATGGATGTGAAGGCAGTAATACCATGGAGTAGCTCAGGTAAACTCTTGACACCCAAAGTTATACAGGTATTAAGTGGCAAAGCAGGGTTTCCAACTCAGGCAATCTGAATCCTGAATCCAGCAACTATCCTACTCTTCACTATGCTGTATTACCTCCACTACTGGAAGAAAAAGAATCATGTAGACATCTCCCAGCTGTTGTCTTGTCAATTTGCCCCTCAATGCCTGTAATGTTTGTAAATTTCTCATTTTTAACAGATTCAAGGCACCTAGCAGGTATGAATACTTACAGAGCAATAATTAGAACTTTTCCTTCTTAAATTGGGATAGGTCAATCCTTATCCCAATTCCCAAGAAGGGTAGTACTGAAGAATGTGCTAACCATTGGACAATTGCACTCATCTCCCATGCTAGTAAGGCCATGCTTAAAATCTTGCATGCTAAGTTTCAGCATTATGTGCACCAAGAACTTCCAGATGTCCAAGCTGGATTTAGAAAAGGAAGAGGAACCAGAGATCAAATTGCCAACATTTGCTGGATCATAGAGAAAGCTAGGGAATTTCAGATAAGCATCTACCTCTGTTTCATCAACTACGCTAAAGCCTTTAATTGTGTGGACCATAATAAACTGTGGAAAGCTCTCAAAGACATGGGAATATCAGACCATCTTACTTATCTCCTGAGAAAACAGGATGAGGGCCAAGAAACAACAGCTAGAACGTGTATGGAACAACCAACTGGTTCAAGACTGAGAAAGGAGTATGTCAGGGCTGTCTGCTGTCACCCTGTTTAATCTATACGTGGAGCGCATCATGAGAAATGCCGGGCTGGATGAGTTACAAGCTGAAATCAAGATAGGCGGGAGAAACATCTACAACCTCAGATATGTGGATCATACCACTCTAAAGGCAGCAAGAAAAGAGGAACTAAAGAGGTGACAGAGGAGCGTGAAAGAGCTGGCTTAAAACTACATATTAAAAAACCTAAGATCATGGCATCCAGCTCCATTTCTTCATGGCAAATAAAGGGAGAAAAGGTGGAAGTAGTCACAGATTTCCTCTTCTTGGGCTCTGAAATCACTGCAGATGGTGACTACAGCCATGAAATCAGAAGACGTTTGCTTCTTTGCAGGAAACCAATGACAAACCTAGACAGTGTATTGAAAAGCAGAGACATTACTCTGCCGACAAAGGTCCCTATAGTCAAGGCCATGGTTTTCCCAGTGGTCACATACAGTTGTGAGAACTGGACTGTAAAGAAGGCAGAACGCCAAAGAATTGATGCCTTTGAACTGTGGTGCTGAAGAAGACTCCTGAGAGTCCCTTGGACAGCAAGGGGATCAAACCAGTCAATCTTAAGGGAAATAAACCCTGAATACTCATTGGAAGGACTGATGCTGAAGTTGAAACTCCAGTATTTTGGTCATTTGATGCGAACAGCTGACTCATTGGAAAAGTCCCTGATGCTGGGAAAGATTGAGGACAGAAGGACAAGAGGGAGCCAGAAGTTGAGATGGCTGGATGGCATTACTGATGCAATGGACATGAACTTGGGCAAACTTACTGAGATGGTGAGGGACAGGCAGGCCTGGAGGGCTGCAGTACATGCAGTCGAAGAGTCAGACATGACTGGGCGACTGAACAACTTCTTAAACTATTTTCCCACTCCAATACTCACTTTCATTAGAGTAAAACTGATCTCACTCTCCCCTCTTCCTCAAGGTTAAGATTGAGACCACTTCACAAAAAAGTGGTCTCAATCTTAGCTTCATCTGCTGTTACACACATCACTTTTCCTACATTCACCCAATCGTGTCTTCAGAGAAAGTTTTCTCTTTTCCAATTTAAACTCTCTCATTTCAACCCTTTCCAACTCCCTACAAAGAATTTCCACTTACACATCCTGTTATCATTTCAAACTGATCATTCAGCACACAATGGTTGAGCTCTTACTAAGCACTATGCATTGCAAATTCTGTGATGAATAAAATCGGGCTCCTCCTTTCCAGGAATTCAGTCTAGTGGAGAATAAAAACTTGCTCACAAATGACAAAGTAAATAAACACTATAAATCGATCTGGGACCCTTGGCCATGTCTGCTGCCAGACCAGAGCTGGAAGCAGGTGGAGGGGTCAGGGGCCCACATAGGGGCCCAAGGATGGGTGAGAATTAAGGGAGAAACGGGCGAATAAGGAGCTGTCGAGGACAGAAGCAAAAGATGGAGATGGGTGCAAGGAAGGTAGAAATGCTTAACTGAGACTGTTCAGAGAGGGACGAGAGATGAAGCGGACTCTGAAGGCAGGTGGGCTCCTCAGAGCGAAGGTGCAGCCGTATCACTCACCTCCTCCTGGTCCTTGTCCAGGAGATCGTCCCGGCTCGTTGCTCCCGCAGCCGCGATCCGGGCTGCCGCGCTCGGCGGACTAGGAGGCAGAAGCGGAGGAGGGCCGCTCTCGCGAACGATACCGCAAGCCGGGGTCGCAGGGCTGGTTTCGGGGGCCTCGGCTGAGGACACCCAGCTGACGACCGAGGCCATTCCGATCCCCGGGCCGAGAGCAGGCGAGAGCGCCGGCTCCGCGGGCTCGGGGCTCTTCCAGGAACTGCGTGCGATGCGTCCCACTCCGGGCTGCGCGAGCCAGACACCAGGGCCACTGTTGCCACGAAAGAGGGCACACTCACGAGCCGGGGAAGATCTCGGTCTCTTTGGCTCCCAGACCCCGCCGCTCCACAAGCACTCCTAGGCCGAGGAAACCGCGGTAAACCTTCCGGGTACGTCGGCAAAACCCTTCCCCGGGCCTATGTGGCGTCCAGCCGAAGTGAAACGCCATGTACATCCGTATAAAAAAGCCGCCGCTGCAACCGGTTCCGCGCATCCTTCTGGTTCTTCAGGAGGCTCGCCAGGTCTAAGTTGGATCAGTGACCGTGTCTTCCTCAGCCTTGTCCTTGAAATGACTGAAAGGAAGGGTGACACACCACAAGGTGCATTTCAGAGTGGCCGTCTCACCAACACAGCCAGTTCTGCTTGTGTTTCAGGTGATTTCTATGCCTGTGTGTTACGTTATACTCTATACTATTGGGTGCTTACTGTTTCGCGTGTGCGTGTGCGTGTGCGTGTGTGTGTACATATACATAGTATATGCAGGTGCATGCTAAGTCGCTCAGTCGTGTCCGACTCTTTGCGACCCTATGGACTGTAGCCTGCTAGGCTCCTCTGTCCATGGGATTCTCCAGGCAAGAATACTGGAGTGGGTTGCCTTTCCTTTCTCCAGGGGATCTTCCTGACCCAGGAACGCAAACCGGGTCTCTTATGTCTCCTGAATTGGCAAGCGGGTTCTTTACCACTAGCGCCGCCTGGGAAGCCCAATAAATGCACAGATGTGCGTATATATGTACATACAGAATATATAGGAATGGCCCAAATCGAGTTACATTATTTTTTTGAGTCTATCTTGATTTAAAATAAAAATCTAAGTGGGAAGAAAAGAAAAGGCACAAAGTATTCAAAGTATTTCTTACGCAACCGTGTGTTTATTTTAGTGCTGTCAGATTTAGCAGGAAAAAAAAATTCAGTAGGCTTGATTACATTTGAATTTCACTAAACAATGAGTAATATCTTAGTATAAGTACATCCTGGGCTTTCCAGGTGGTGCTAGTGGTAAAGAACTTGCCTGTGGATGCAGAGACTTGTGTTCCATCCCCGAGTCAGGAAGATCCCCTGGAGGAGTGCATGGCAACCAACCTCACTATTTTTGCTTGGAGAATCCCATGGACAGAGGAGCCTGGCAAGCTACAGTCCATAGGGTAGCAAAGAGTGGGACCCGACTGAAGCGACTTAGCACGCAGGCATAAGTATGTCTCATACAATAATAATGCACTATCAACTAACTATTTTCTAGTAAAAACAAGGAAATAGCCACTATTATACCTCCTCTCCCACCACCTCTAAAATTTATTCCTGATATTCTAAGGTTTTTCACTTGCTGTTAGAGAAAGTGGGTTGGAAAGCAGCCCCTGATATCTGGAAGCCAGCTAGCACTCAGGCCATGTTCTTCTGTTGGACATAAACTTACAGAACACCAGTCTAGATGTCAGTCATCCCTAGATGACTGACGTGAGACAAAACGAAACCACTTCGTTATTTTTTCTAAGCACAGACCAAAAACAAAGGTTGCTCTACTACCCATGAAACACCAAACACCCCCTCTCTTCACCAACATGGGTGACTGCGTCTTTACCCATTACAGCTTTATCCTTGCCCTAGTCTATCCTCCCTACAGATGAGATCATTGAGATGCCCGATGCCCTAAATCATCCAAATACTATAGTAGGTTCTTTCTAACATTCTCTTACTGAAACACCTCTACAGTTCCCTATGGTGTTCGTTCTTCCTCCCTGCAAAGAAAAATAAATCCAACTTATCAGCTGTGAGTATATTCCTGGTGGTTTTTCGTTGAAGGGCATTGACGTGTTCCACTGCCTAGAATGCTTCCCCAGATATTTGCATGACTCTTTCCCTTAGTTCATTCTGTTCTTTGCTCATGCATCATCTTTTCAAAGAGGTCATCCCTGAAAAGATTTACAGTACCACCCTCATCATTCTCTCTCCCTTTATGCTGGTTATTTTTCTTCATAGCACTCATTGCTATCTGATATTATATATTTAGGTAATATGTTTATTGTATGTCTCTCCCATTAGAATCTAAGTTTCCTGAAGACTAGGACTTCACCTTCTTTTTTTTTTTTAAACGTGGCCACGCCACATGACATGCAGGATCTTAGTTCTCCAACCAGAGATCAAATCCATGTCCCCTGCCTTGGGAGGGTGGAATCTTAACCTCTGGACCACCAGGGAAATCCCACTAGGACTTCATCTTGATGATGATTGTATCTATAGTGTGTAGAGCATTTCCTGGCACAGAGTAGGTACCAAGTGATATGAATTTAATGAACACATTAATGGATTTTTATTGTGTCAGGGTGTATATAATATTAATAGTTTCTTCTATCACATATTCATAATCAACCTTGTTGTTTGGTCTTAGTCCTCCATTTAAGTAGATTGGCTCATTACAAAATGTCCATTCTTAATTCTTTATTTTGACTCATTTCTTATTGGATTTGATTTCATATTGCCAAGTAGTTTTTCACAAAGGATACCTGGGTAGTGCATTCTCTCAACTTTTTTCATACTTGAAATAGGCTACCTGTTGCTTTTGGGGGAGTAGATTGTATTACTGTCAGCAATGTCCACTTCCTCTTTCCCTGTAGGAGGGTTATATATCCCTATGCAGTTACCTTTGGAAGGTTTTAAGAAGAAAAAGAGAATCTGCAGTTATCAAGCAAGTCACTTAAAAGAGAGAATTGTTGGGATAAAGCAGAAAAGGGGAGAGTAATGAAAAAACAAACATTTAGCACTTATAAGGTTCCAGACACTCATTCACTCAATAATTCAAGTAACCATATCAGTCTACCATCTATTGGGTCAAGGCAGGCCTCACAAATGGAAATTGTAAGCAGTTTGACACTATCCATAGTTAATTCATTTAATCCTCAAAACAACTCTATGGGGAGGTATTATTATCTTTATTTTACAGATGAAGAATCAGGCTAAGGGTCATACAGCTAAGTGGAAGTACCAGAATCCCAATGCTTTCACTGCTGCCCTAGTCTTGGTTTTTTCCATGATACCTTACTGTAGTTTCTTCTTATACTCATGCAGTGACCTTTCTAAATTTGTGTTGCTAAGTACAACTCAGGGGAAGGGCTATAGGACTGAATAAACATCATTTTTTCTCTTTTATCATCATCAGTTAATATATATTAAACACCCACAAGGTTCTTGGTGTTTTAACATAGGAGAGGACAGTTGCTTCAGTAGACCTTCAGTAGTTGTGGCTCCCCAGCTTTAGAACACAGGCTCAGTAGCTGTGGCACATGGACCCAGTTGCTCTGTGGCACGTGTGAGCTTTCGGGGTCAGGGATCAAACCCGTGTCTCCTGCAGTGATAGGTGGATCCTTTACCACTGAGTCACCAGGGAAGCCCTTAAATTCTTTTTTTAATTGAAGTGTAGTTAATTTAGGGCTTCCCTGGAGGCTCAGAGTTAAAGAACCCACCTGCAATACAGGAGACACGGGTTCAGTCCCTGGGTGCAGACGATCCCCTGGAGAAGGAAATGGCAACCCACGCCTGTATTCTTGCCTGGAGAGTCCCATGGACAGAGGAGCCTGGCAGGCTACAGTTCATGGGGTTACAAAAGAGTCGGATACAACTTACCAACTAAACAACAATAGTTGATTTACAATATTGTGTTAGTTTCAGGTGTACAACAAAGTGTTCAGTTATATAAATTTTTTCAGATTATTTTCCACTATAAGTTATTATAAGATAATGAATATTGTTCCCGGTGTTATATAGTAAATCTTTGTTGTTTATCTTTTATATATAATAGTTTGTATCTGTTAATCCCATACTTCCAACTTGTCCCTCCCTCTCTCCCTCTCCCTTTTGGTAACCATGAGTTTGTTTTCTGTGTCTGTGATTCTGTTTCTGTTTTGTATACAGATTCATCTGTATTATTTTTTAGATTCCATATATAAATGACATCATATAGTATTTGTCTTTCTCTTTCTGACTTACGTCACTAAGCAAAATACTCTGTAGGTCCATCCATGTTGCTACAAATGGCAATATTGCATTCTTTTTTATGGCTGAGTAATAATATTCCATTGTATATATGTACCACATCTCTTTAAGTCAATCGTCTGTTGATGGACACTTGGATTGTTTCCATGTCTTGGCTTTTGTAAATATTGCTGCTATGAACATTAACGTGTATGTATCTTTCTGAATTAAAGTTTGTGTTTTTTCCATATATATACCTAGGAGTGGAATTGCTGTATCATATGGTAGTCCTATTTTTAGTTGTTTTTATTTTTATTTTTGCTAGGGTGTAATTGTGTTTTAATGCTTCTGTGTCATGTTATGATCCAATAGTTCCCAGGTTTACATATTTTATTATTTATACAATGATTTTCTGGTCACAAATGATAGCATAAGGGTTGTTTTTTTAAATCTACTTTTTAACTGAAGTATAGTTGCTTTACAGAATTTTGTTGTTCAGGAACCTCCATACTGTTTTTCATAGTGGCTGCACCAACTTACGTTCCCAGCAACAGTGTGTGCGGATTCCTTTTCTCCACACCCTCTCCAACATTTATTATATGTAGACTTTTTGATGATAGCTATTCTGACTGGTTTTGATGTGCATTTCTCTAATTATTAGTGAATAATTTTTATGTGCCTGTTGGCCATCTGTATGTGTCTATTTAGGTATTCTCCCCAGTTTTTGATTGAATTGTTTGGATATTGAGTTGTATGAGCTGTTTTTGTATTTTGGATATTGAATTGTTTGGATATTGAGTTGGGTGAGCTGTTTTTGTATTTTGGATATTAACCCTTTGTCAGTTGCATCCTTTGAAAACATTTTCTCCTATTCCATAGGTCGTCTTTTAATTTTGTTGATGGTTTCTTTTGCT